GTATAGGTACCGTATGTATTTTATTTTGGGATTGAAGAATTAAAGAATAAATGCTATAGCGACGTTACAATGTGTTGTTCCGCGAAAATGAAATGTCTTACCGTGGTTTGAACAGAAGCTTATGACACTCAATCGGTCATTGTTTATTATCTACTAAATTTCATCCAAATCTGCTTAGCCGTTTTACCGTGAAGGACTAACCTACAAACATACACAAACTTTCGCATCTATAATAGTAGTCCGATGGATAGTATCAATAATTATATATAAGGCCTGTACTTTCCTGACTGGATCGCATGCGCGTATGGCGTTGTGCCAGTCTTCATTTTATTCTCGAATTGCGAATTTTATTAATGTACCGACTGCATTTGATAACGGCACTGCGTCAAGAGCGATTTTCAAAGAAATTTTAAATTTTTCGTGGTGAAATATATGTATTAAACCCTTTTCAACGTCCCACTGCTCGGCACGCGTCGCCTTTCCATTGGAGGAGATCGAGCCAAAGTTCACCAGACTGGCAAAGTGCGGGTTTGAGAGAATGCACATGTCTTTCGACTAAGTAAGAACCTAGTACGGTTCTCTCAGAAGCGTATGTTTTCACGAGATTTTACTTATGTGTGAAATATATTAATTAAAATAATTAATTTAACTGTGGCTAAATAGTTATCGTAGTTATTTTTTTGTTATTTTTTTTTAATTTCGTGCGACTGGAAAAGTTAATATAGCTGTGCATCATTTTACTGAGCAAAGTACAATATATATTTTTTTTATAGTGAGTGCATGTAGTAGTGGCATGTTGAAACGAGTATTTAAGAAAAAATTGAATAAGAATTTATGTAAGTAAATTAAACAAATTTGTAAGATGTATACTTATTCTAAGGGTACTTATTTAAACTTATTCAAGGGATGATTTCAAAATATTATATCGCTCTTCATTGTTATATCTTCTAATATATAAAATTTCCATGTCACAATGTTAGTTACCGAAAAATTAGTTATTATTTTAAAAAGTTCGAAAAATCGTTCGATCGAAAAATTAGTTATTAGTTTAAAAAGTTAGTTAGAAACTGAAACGGCTTTACCGATTTTTACCAAATTTTATATGCGTATTCAGTAGGTCTGAGAATCGGCTACTGTCTATTTTCCATACCCCTAATTGATAAGGATAAGGGTGGTCCTCCCAGACCCCACCCCAGGGACGAACCCGAGCGGAGCGAGGGTGAGTCGCTAGTAATAAGATAAATATGACGCAAAGTTTCATACTAGTCTAGACTCAGTCTCGCTTGGTTTAGTGTAAGATTTTTTGTTAATTAAATATCTTATAAAATGAAATGCATTTTAATTTCATTTATTTGAAATATAATTATGCCAGAAGCTATGTTACATGTTTCCTTCAGTAAAAAAAAAAACAACAACAAACTTAGCGTATATCGTCTATGTAATACTATTATTAATAACGGTCCGGTTACGCCACTACCCAATTAACAAATCTCGCAGTATAGTGATTGTTAGCGCTTATGTAAGTGATAGCTTGCTGTTGTTTTGAAATGAAAATGGGCTACAGTACAAGGTTATTACTATGAAAGAGTATTGTATATTTGGAGATCTATCAGTTTTGTATGACTTGTCTAGTTAGTTGGTTTTAGTAAGAAAAAATTAAGGATAAATTATATATATAACTAGCGACTCGCCCTTGCTCCGCTCGCTCGGGTTTGTCCCTAGTTACGTTTTATCGGTTAGTATTGATTTCTCAGAGATGAGATATTTTCCCGCAGTAAAAAGTATGCTATATGTTGACCCGGATAACCAGCTATCATCATGCCTTTCATCATTTAAATCTGTCCAGTGGTTTTCTCATGATGTGGTCACAGACAGACAGACAGACAAAATTTTTAAAAACTAGATTCGACTACTGTATCGATAATAATGACTTTTTCAATAAGATTTTTCCAAAAATATTTGATACACACATGCCATCGCGGATAGAAGAAAAAAAGAAAAAAACACTACAGAAGACTAGGGTTTTTAACCTACAATTTTTTAATCCATTGTTTTGGTGTACTTATCTCTAAAGGTTTAGCCAGTGTTAGTCATGTAATCGTACAAAAACAGTTTTTTTGACAAAATACCGTCTAGGCTCAGTAATTTTGTACACAATATTTACAAATTATGTACACAAAACTTCGTTTATCGCTTTTTCTATTAGTGAAAACCGTATTAAAATCTGCTGCGTGGTATAGAAGAATTAAGCGAAGAAACAGAGAAGGGACAATACTTTACGACCAATTCTCTTATACATATACCAAATATACAACAAGAAAATCATTAAAATCGGTCGAGCCGTTTCGGCGGAGTGCGACCACAAACGCCGTAACACGAGATATTTATATATCAGATTTATCAAAACCGTTAAGTTTTGGAGATAATACCAGCAATTTAATTTCAAAAATCAATTCAAAAATTATTCTTTTTTAACCAAAACAATTTAAAATTTTCTTGTTTGCAACTCTAAAGGGTTCATAAAGAATATTTATAATATGCTTAACGTTACATAATCAAGTGACCCCCATACATGAGGATATTCGTTTAACTCAATCACCGAAGCGGCGACATTCAATTATGATTTCGACAATTTATAGCTTTTAAATGAGAATTTATGACTTTGAATAGATTTTTTTCATTTGCTGTAGTTGATAAATTTTAATGAAATTTTATCTAAGACTAGCGATTCGACCTTAGCTTGATTCCCAATACAAAATTTCATCTCCATTTTCACCTCCTTAAGGGATGATTACCGGGATAAAAAGTATCCTATGTCCTTTCCAGGGTTTCAAACTATCTTATTACCAAATTTTATCTAAATCGGTTCACTAGGTCCAGATATTAACCCCTACAACGTCACAAACTCACAAACTTAACCTCTTTTTAATGTTAGTATAGACTAGTGACTTCACCTTGCTTCGCTTATGTCTTAAGTGTAACCCATACGTCAATAAAATTGTGCGAATAATCTATTTAGCCAAAGAGAACCAAGAAGTTAATGTACTGAGATAGAAGGTATTCTAAAACATATGATACCAACCTAGAACCTAGAGCCTAAACCAACTGACTTCAAAATCCTTAAAAAGTAATTAATAATTATTTCAACTTTAGAGGTGGACTTTTGTTGATATTTATATAAAATATCTCGACGCATATTTATTTTATCTTTAAAGAATCCTAAACACGAATTAAGTACTTCTTTTTTGACGTCGGTCAAAAAGTAGATCGAATAAGACAGCGGAAGTGTTGTAGTTAATAAATAGACAAACCAACATAAACGCTTTTGCTTTTATTTAGCGTATTATTGAAAGTTGACGGTAAACTAGTATTTAGTAGCGATTTATCCTCGTAGCATTTGGGTGCATGATTGCATCCCTAGGTGCCTTTTATATATAGAAATTTATATACAGACAGCGCCACTTGTCGCAAATTTTATGATTAACTACGTTTTAATTTTAGTATAGATTTCTCAGAGATGAGATATTTTCCCGCAGTAAAAAGTATCTTATATGTTGGCCCGGATAACCAGCTATCATCATACCAAATTTTATCAAAATCCCTCGGACTGCCTCGATATTCACATGTTTTATGAAGTCTTTGCTCGTGAGCTTCTACGTATTTATCACTTTATCGATAAACTCTACATAGAGGTCCCGATGAAGATCGTCGGTGCTTACATACTAGGGTGCATTTACTACTATCCTGAAAACTTTATTTTTAGAATCGTTGGATGATAAGATCATTACTCTTTTTGGTACAGCCACTGATTTGAATATGAATAATTTTCATGAAGAAATTTGTTTTGCCATTTTATAGCAAACATTTGCAATTTACAATTAAGTATATTTTATCTATCGTAAAGTTATAAGTTAAATTATTGGCATAGTTATTAATATTTTTTTGCTTAATTAATAATATGTATTTTAAAATAATAATTAGTTATTAATATAAAAACTTTTGTTTTTATTATATTTTCCATTAAGACACAAACAGTCCCTATTGTATATTACATTGCAATTATATATTTTTTATTTCAACAAGTCGTAAGACAAACGCGTTTATAATAATACCTACAAGATTCAGTACGCAATTATAACTAGAATATACCTAAATGGATCATTACCGTTTAATGATCTCTAAAACACTTTAAAAATCACATAATAGACTGTACAAAACTATAAAGCCAGAAGAAAACACTAAGGTCCCAAATAACAATTACACATTAAATAATTGCGAAAGTTTGTTGATGTACAGTGTACATACATATGTACATATATTATGAATTATGATTTATATTTCGACTAGCATTGCCCGCGGCTCCGCTCGCGTTCAGATGACCAAAAGCCAAATTCTTAGGTTTTACAGATTAGTATACTCTTCCATTGCAGTTTTTCTTTCTGTGATGCGGTAACAGACAGACAGACAGACAGACAAAAATTCTAAAAACCATAGATTCGGCCTCTGTATCGATAATAATGTTTATTTCAATAAGAATTTAAAAAAAAATATTTTATGTACAGATTGGGCTTAGTTATAATTTTATTATATGTATAGATTTGGTTTATATTTTAATTTTGTTCAAGGGTAAAAACTAAAGAGTAAAAAAATAATTTCAAATTGTAAATACCGTTTTAATTTTCTGAATTAAGAAAGTTATTTATTTAAATAACACACAAAAAAAAACAACATTATATCACTCGATTACGTGACCACTTAACCGACCACATGTAAACCACCATAATCCAATTTATATTTGATTAACAGTTACATAACGGCGATTCATATCGACAAACTTCCTTTCCTTTCGCCATATATGTCTGGCTGATTTGCGTTCGGAATTTAAATTTGCAACTGTCTTTCCACAGATAATGGTTCCTATTGGTTGAGCGTATGTCGCGATGACGTGATCTCGCACATGATTGGTCAAGGATTGCGCCGCGAGCGCTGATTGGTGGAAAATGTCGGGATTGCCAAGCAGGGCAGACGACCCGATCAATGGAGTCGATGTTCGGGAGCAAGGAAGCGCTTTGAGGTCAGTATAGTTACCTTGACTGTTTAGGTACGGCATTGGATACGTCTATATAAGGCAATCTGGATCTATAATTAATTTTGTACGCTCTGTCGATATATTTAGAGACTATTTTAAATTGGTAATAGTGTAAAACAGGTTTTCATTCAACACGATTTTGTATTTTAATGAGATTATTTAAGGCTCAATGCATATTATTAATATCTTGTGGATGAAGCTATTAGTTCTTATTACAAAGATAAATGGATTCATCATAAAACTTTTGCATACATTAGCATAAAGCAAAAACATTAATTTGAAATTGATATCTCCAGCAAAACTTTCAAATGGACATTCGATATGGATGGTAAGATTTGAAGTGTAGGTGTTAACTAGAGTAATGCTTATTATTAAGCTTTAAAGGCGGAATTTGTTTAAACCGTTATTTAGACGTAAAGCATCCGGGGATGGTCAGCGGAGCGAAAAATTACTCATTACCTTCGTTCTGTCTGTTCTGTTCTGTTCGTGTATTAAATGTTACGTTTTGTGGTTTTATTTTGCAAAGTTTTAACTGGACCGGTACAGCTGACGGTTTGATTCCCGGTTAAGGATTGTTTGTGTCGATTAGATTACATATTACATTCTGCATCAATCATGATTGATGACTCACTAGACATTGCCTAATATTAAGACAAAGATGAAAGAAAGGACACGTACAAAAAACTGTAACTTTATATACAGGATGTTTTAACCGAAAGATTTCTTATGTAAATATTCACTGACTAATTATTAAAGAATTCAAGGTATCTGGTATGGCTGGAGTAAGTTACCGGTCCCATCCAATAAGAAATAAAACTCGCCATCTTCACTTGGTATGGCGGTATTTTATTTAATACTAGTTTTGCCTGCGGTTCCGCCCACGTTGTTTTTTATGTTTAATTCTAATCTAGGACTCTTACAGTCTAGAATCTTATTTCTAGATAGCTTTCCTCAATAGACACATACTAATATTATGAATGCAAAAGCGTATGTCTGTCTGTTACCTTTTCACCTTTAATCCCCTGAACCGATTTAGATGAAATTTGGTATGGAGGTAGTTCGAGACCCTGGGACACAGTTTAGTTTTTATCTATTTATATAGATTTTTATTCATATTTATATAAGTGGAAGTTTGTATGGGGAATCAATCATTTCTCAAGTAAGGGATAAACTCATCATACTATCATACTATATACTATATTTTTTTTACATATCCGACTAGTTCCAACTCTGATTAGTGCATTCAAACAAACAAGTTACATAATATATTTTTATAAGCAATACAATAGATTGGTATAAATTTACTGTTCAAGCTAACGAAAGAAGGTAACTCAATGAATATTAACAAATAGCCACTCATCCGTCAAGTTGCTAAGATTTTGATAACTTCATTACAAAATATGTCATTATTTTTGTTGTTGCAAATCTTTAATGTCTTAATCGCCTTGTTTTTTTTTTGGTTTTAAATAGATGTTCAGTAGTATTTTTTATAAATGTGGTAATGATAGAAACTTGTTCGTATTCAGCCAATGATATTTTTCTTTTTTTATTTAATGTCATTGTATTCTGCACTTTTTTCGTCCCACTACTGGCCTTAAATGCGAAGAAAATCAAAACTTATCAACATTTATAACACATATCTCTTAAAAACTAATTAGGTTCTTTCAAACATGCAGATCCCCTTGTGATATATTCCTACACTATAAGGCATAGGTATGCATGTTGAAGTTATTCGCACATGAGGAGATTGAACTCGCTTCGCTTGGTTTTACAAGCGAACGCGTCACCACTGGGCTACCACTGCCTTTTATACTCGTAATAGTAGACTGATGATTTTTTTTATGTTGTATCAATATTACCATAACTATTTTTCACATATCACAATGTGTTTTTTGGGTACTTAGTATTTGTATTTTAATAGCCAGCAATGAAACCGTATTGTCTGAAATCAAGAGGCTTACGTCAGAGGCCTTGAGCCTATGTTAGTCGTATGTAAGACAAATTGCGAGTGACTTGTTGTTTATGCCTATGTATTGAAATTGTTTATGATGGTAATTTTGTATTTCCTTACATGCGCTTATAATAATTCTCTACTGTATATGTTTTTTACACGAATAAGATAACAGGTATACTAACATCATCATCATCTCTCTGCCGATTTCCCAAATTACTTGGGACGTCCATACTGCTTATTGGTTTTGGCAAAAAAATTCCGACCGGCCGCCTGCCGGACGTCAACCCTGTTTGGGAATGCTGTTGTTCGCTCGCCATCGAGCAAAGGAATTAAAGTGTGATGTTCCTAGATCCTTTAGTCCTCTTCTACGACACCTACAGGAGGAGATGAGGTAGCCCTATTCTAAGCCGAGCGCTACACGGCTAACTGGTATACCAACATACTTTATTTTTAACAAAGTACATTGATTTCAAAGGTACTTTAAAAGTAATTTGTTTTTACTTTTAAGGGTATAATCTTATTTATTAGAAATAATCATGAAATCGATTTCCAATTGGCGAATATATCGCATATTATAATATACAAAAAAAACATACATCCGATTCGTAATCTTTTTCTTCCTTTTTGAAGTCGGTCTAAACAGATTTTTCATATTGTATTTATTATCGAAGAAAATACAAGAGTTTCAAATTTAAAATAGGAGCCTTTTTTAAACGCAGAACTTGATTTTTTGTATCAAAATGATGAATATCCTAAATTAGAATATTTATGCCACCTCCCCAAATTCCAAAACATTCTAACTGTCACGTGTAATATGAATTAGTGTACATTATTTGTATACAAAATATAAAAATTCTTTTTTTAGTATACAATATACAGAAAACAAGTAAATATACAGAACAAATAACAAAAAAAATATTTATATAGATTTATCCGTAGAATAAATCTGTTCGTAATGGGTATGTATTTAGCCCTTTTTAACGTCCCACTGCTGGGGGTGGGCCTCCGTTCAATACAAAGGGGCATCAGGCCATAGTCCACCACGCTGGCCAAGTGCAGGTTGGCGGACTTCACATGCATTTCGAAAACTTGCTAGGTTCTCTCAGACATGCAGGTTTCCTCACGATGTTTTCCTTAACCGTAAGGCAAGTGCTAATCATGTTAGAAATGTTTCGCACATGAAAATATTAGAGGTGCGAGACCTGGGATTCGAACCCGCTTCATTCGGTTTCCCAAGCAAGCGCGTTAACTTACCACTGGGCTACCACTGCTCGCAATATTTATAAGATATTATTTTATTTTCTTAAATGGATGAAAAGTATAATAGCTAGTAAGCTATAACCTTCACCTGCATAATTAATATTACGATATTTAATTTGTGCGTGTATAATCTTATTGCGACAACGGTTTACAAGGTTAGAAATCAGAAGTCATACAAATACATGCGTATGACGTCATGTATGTCTAAAAGAATTATTGTAGGGAAATTCTGTTATATATAAACATCCCTTAGTCAAAATTATGTTTTATACCATTTGCTGTAGAAACCCTTGGCTTATGGAGTCAAAGTGCTAAGTTCTTCTTAAAACACATAACACCTCGTCTTATCGCCTCTACTGGTCAAAAGGGAGCTGGCTCATTTTTCGCCCAAAGATTCGGCATTGCCATTCAGCGGCTAGCATTCTTGCCACTATTCCACGCGGACATGATTTGTACAGTAATAATTAGGTGTACGTTTGTTTTGTAGGTAATATTAGTAATTTTCTTTATTGTAAATAAAGTACCTACCATATTGATTATTAAATTTATGTTATATTGTGATTTCTATTTTTAAGTCGACATATAGTGTAGATCTGGTCTAATAGTGTTCTCGGGTTTCATAGACCAAATAATTTTTTTTCTCTGTTCAATTTTTATAGCACACTTTTTTTTTTTTTAAACGTTGGGAAATGCATTTACGCACGACGTGTGGGACTCACCGGCGTAATACAGCCAGTACTACCCACTAAAACCCAACAAAACCTTCCCCCGTCTTAATGGGGCGTCGCAGGATCGCTTACGCATTCAACTACGACGCCCCGACGGCAGGTCTGCCGAAGCAGACCACCACAACCATGGGGTTGCTCCACAGTCCACTCTGCTATCAGAGAAGTACCAGGAGCAACCCGCATGGTACACCGCCCCCCGAAGAGGGCCACCTCCCACCGCCCACCGAAGTGGGCAACCTCCCTGTGCGTTTCTTAGCTTCGCTACTACTACTGAGCCCCCCCACCACGACAAGGTGAACGCACGTTGGGGGGGAACACTACCTTAACTTACTTACCTTCGCTTTGCTCGGGTGTGTCCCAGGCGTTTAATTTTTATAATATTATACTGAGATAGCACCATATCTTTACAATGTTTATTAAAGTCAAAGGCCAAAGTCTATCTGTCTATCTGTGTGCTTTTTATCCAAATCTATCCAGCCATCTCGGCATCAAGGATTAAGGAGTAACAAATGTGAACACCCCATACACCCCACCCCCGCTCCTCCCCTTTTTCACCCCCTTAAAGAATTATTCCCGGGATAAAAACTATCCTATGCGCTTAAGGGTCTCAAACTATATCCATGCCAAATTCCATATAAATAGGCCCGCGGATTAAACGTGAAAAGGTAACAGACAGACAGACAGAGTTTATAATATTAGTATGGATAGTGAGTTCTAGTAATTTAATATGATGTAGCACTAAATAATGTTTACGATATAAATCCGCGTTTCTTATATGAACCATCAAATACCAAAAATCAAATATGAAAAATCTTTCAATCATTCAAAGTCAAAAAACAGTTATTTAAATTGTAAATAATAATTTTATATCTTTTAAAGTACAGCAACAGTGCATTCGTTACGTAATAAATACTCAATTGTGAGGCACGTTCGTCTTCCACGAATTACCTACTGGTACGGAAATAAGCGTTTAAGTTAACATATAAATTTAAACTCTTGCGACATACACTTTGGCGTGTTTATGTCCACGTTCCTGCGTTATG